TAAGCTTCCTCACATTGTATTCAGCAGATATCTGCTAGATACAGTGTGAGGAATGGGGTTAAAATGATATACTGTAACAGAGTACTGTAATACAGTTAACAGTCATAGTAATGTTACTGATCGAGTTGATTTCAGTTTGTGTTGATCAAGGAGAAAATGTGAGAACACTTTACAATTTCTAAGGAGTGTGAATGTTAAAGTTACTTTAATTTTCATTGCATGACAGCACTGTGCAAACTGCACCCAACGCAAAGACACAATATCAACACAAAGCAAACCGCTAAGAACAATCATAGCCGTGATTTAAAGCTGAACGTTTGCACATTAACACAACTTAAAACTACACCTAATATCTTTATTTTCAAACATAAATATACTGCGTGGTTAAATATTAATTGTGTTATATGTAGTATTTATCATTACATTACAAAGTCAGAGGAAGCCAAGTACAACGAAAAAGATTAGTGCGACAAAAAAGTTTAATTTATAAAACATGACGTGTTATTTCGAGACACGTTCTTATTTAAAAAATGCTTTAAAGGGATTCCACGAAGATCTCAGTGCGTGGTCCTATAAATTAAATTCGTGATGCAGCTATGTAAGGATGTGTGGTAGAAAGTTGAACTCGGAGTTTCCCCCTCAGATGGTGGTGACAGTTGTGCATGAATGGGTCATTAAGGCAGAATGTGATTTTCCACTCACCGGCATCATGTTGGCAGTTCCCCGCTCTGTCGCATCCACTGCAGCTGAAACCATCAAAGCTTACACCGTCAACCTCCTCTGCTGCCCGCCTCTCTCTCTGCGCTTTACTGTCACATCACATCTATATATATTGTTTTAGATTTCACCTCCTGCTCGACCTGTTGCAATGGGTACGGTGGGATGTCCTCTGGAGAAAAAAGGCAGGTCGCTTTCAGAGAGAAGAACTACACGCAGCGTTTCCACACCAGACTGCAGCTCTTGATGATCTGAGCAGAAAACAAAGCGCGGAGAGCCGAGCTGCTGCTCTCCTGCTGCGCTCCTAATCCTACTCAGCTCCCAGCATCTCACTAACGAGGCTTGGTTTGGACTTACTCGAACATTACACAGGAACAGCACTTCCGGTCAAATCTTTTCAGAATTAAAGCGACTCTTTCTCCAGAGTATGTTTTTAACATGTACATTTTCGATTTCTGGGGATCAGAGATTTAAACCACCGTGATACTAAGTAATACACAGAGTTATGAAAAAATTAAAATTCTAGCAAAAGAAAAAAAAATAAATAAATAATAGAGCATCAGTGATAAATATTCACTTTGCTCTGAGAAAAGAAATTTACACATAATAATACTAGAGAATACATTTCCAAGAAAATGTTGTTTGAAAGCTGAATGAGTTTGAGTTGACTTGTTGTAATTGTTAAATTATATGGGACATTTAAGTGCAGAAGTGTTAAAAAAGATGGAGAGTTGTTCAGTTCAATTCATTTTTTTATATAGCACCAAGTCACAACAACAGTCACCTCAAGGCACTTTATATCGGAAGGTAGACCCCACAATAATACA